AAATAAATAAGTAAAATCTTTAAAAAAATAAATAAAAATTAAAATTAAAAATTAAAAAACAAAATAAATAAAAATAAAGAAATGAAAGGGGTTATAGAGCTAAGAAAAACATGTTAAAGCAATTCAACAAAAACTAGAAAAGGCCCTTCAACTGGCTGCCGTGGAGGAATAGGAAAGGCCAGGCTTTAACGCAGCTGAACCAAAGGATGAGTAAAGCCAAGAGGCTAGTCTTGAGTCTGCCTCTTCCTATTCCTTCTCATTCAGGTTAGAAGAGATTTGGTAGTTTTCTGGTCCAGACAGAAACTGGAGTTTCTTTCACACGTCCTGCCATGTGTCACCTTCAGTCAATATCTGAACCTCTCTGTAAATGAAAATCACCACCATGTACCCTTTTGTATATGAAATGTGTAAAGCATATAGTAAGTACTTAATAAATATTTTATTAAAGTAACATTAAAAACTTCTAGAATATCATCACCACTTCTTCAAATACAAATGACAGAAGCTGAGAAAAACTATTCTGATCCACGATTAACAGGGCAAATTAAGTTAAGAATTGAGTGAATATCATATTTTAAAAATTGGCAGGCCTTTCATATCTGAGTATTTACATTTACTCAACAAATGCTACTTGTTGACTCTTAACATTAAGTACAGTTCAAAGGAAGGTTATCAATGTAGTATTTAAAAAAAATAATTTCCAGCAACTAGCTTAGCAGTCCTTATTTAAATTTTATAAACAGCTAAAAATTGATGAAGATTTAACAATATTACTTTATTACCTCATCTGATTCAAAATCGACCCCTTTAGCTATTTGGCTCTGGGACATGCGCTTGCTTGATGATGATGTGCTTGACCACCTGAGGCAGAAACATGGAAAAAACAAAGAAAGCGAACCAGAGAATTCATAAGCCGTTTTAAGCTCAATTTTTCATTCTAGTAGCAGCCATGAATAAAAATAGCTAATACATTCCCTTCAACCTACATTAGAGACAGTAAAAACTTAATGGTGAGGAAAAGGACTCTAGGGCCAGGGTCTGAATTCCAGTTTTGTCTTTGCTAGCTATGTGGCTTCAGGCAAGTTACTTAGCCTCTCTGCCTCAATTTCCTCATCCATAAAATGAGGATAATAATAATGTTTTAGAGATCTACTGTGTTAATATACTAGATCAGTGCCTGACATATATTCAATACTACACTGATCCTTGCTTATTATTATAGTGCTTAGCATATATTAACATGCATCTACTATCATCCCCCACTCCTGAAAACTGTAACACTGAAATATTTGTATTTAAATACCAGTTATGTTTCCGTAACAAGATAAAGAGATTTCAGGGGAGGCTCACTGCTTTCTAGGGTTACCTCACTGTTCGTATTATTTGTGTTCAATCCAAATCAAATAGCAAATATATACTGAGTGCTTGCTCTTTTCCAGGTACTCTGATAGGCCCTGGGAAATATCAGCGAACAAGATCATGATTCCCATCCTTACGAAGCTTAACTTGTGGTAATGGAACTCATATTTGTATGTCTTTTTATCAGCAGGAATTCTAAATCCTCTTAGATCAGGCCACTGCAGCCTATCCAGCCTGCCTGATTTTTTACTGCCACTAAAAGTTTCCCACTTTGAAATGGGGTACATTTAAATGGCTATACAAATACCTACATGATATCCTCAATTTTGCCTCTTGGTCTGCAAAGCCTAAAATATTTATTATCTGGCCCTTTCAGAAAGTTTGCTGACTCCTGTCTTAAATGAAAGCAGCATTTGTAAATTCTTAGCTAATAATTTATTACCATGCTTTGGGATGTTACAGCAAGAGAAGTATGTCTGAAGGTCTTGTCTGGACAAGTAGGTTGAGAATCAAGAGCTCATGTGTCAAAAGGAAAGAAAAAAACCACAGGTTCATCTACATAAAAGTAAAGGACAGGAGGATCTATCAAGCAAACTTGATGGGCAACAAGGCTTTAAAAGTAGAGATCAAGGAAATTTATCAAGTGATCCATCTGGGGCGTGCCCATCTCTCTATACTTGACCTAAGCAGGAACTGGTCAGTTGTTGACTTGTTTCTATCTGTGACAGGAAGAAGCAGATCATTAAGAGCATAAAGCCACACTGCCAAGGTGGCAAAGTTAAGTGAATGTGTTCTTCTTGGGGGTTGGGCAAAGGGGGTGGTTTACGGAAGGAAACACCCACTGAGACCTGACTCTGCTTCTGATGACTCCCCAAATAACCAAAAGGACCCAGAAACAAGCCAGTCATCTCTGAGGGACAGTGGCTCATCTGATCATAGCAAGAGTCCTAAGTTCTGCATCGGGAAACCCCACAGACCTACAGATCTCATCTGCAAAGGATCCCTTATCCTTAGAAATCAACAGTGGGGAGGGAAAGAAATGGTTTTATCATTTTGATTGCTGGGTCGAATAAATGGGCCTTGTCCTGGATATGAGAAAGGGTTTAATTTGATTAGCTTCATGTGGATGGCTAAAATAAATAGGGTGTGTCAAACTGAGCGCCAAGGGCTGTAAATTTTCTACCTTTTTGTTCCGATATCATTTGGGGTCATAAATTAGAGGTCCCGTCTAGAGATGTTCAGCCAAGAAGTCCATTGTAGCAGTGTTCTAAGCACAAGGTAACATGTTAAATTGGCTTTATATTGTATATGGCACGTAACAGGTGCCGCAAAAATGTGAGTTCCCCACCACTCCAAGGTGCAAGGACAAAGTTTGGACAACTTTTCCAGGGAAAAGTAGGCTTTCTGTTACCTGTCTGGCAGAAGGGAGTTTTACAACTGGAAGTTACTTCCTTTTTCACGTTAACTGCCGGGCATATTAATGCTTTTATTGCTTACCATTCCTCCTATTATTCTTGCTCTATTTTCCCTAGCCTGTTATTTAATTTATTTAACAAACACAGAGCTGTTACTGTGTGTCACGCACTGTACTTAGCACTTTATAAATATTAACCCACTTAAATCTCATAACCCTATGGGGTAAATATTATTATATTCCTTTTACAAAATGAGGATACTGAGGCAGAGAGAAGTAAAAAAACTTGTACAAGGACCATACCTAGCAAGCTGCAGAGCTTAAGTACCGTAAATAATCAAAATAACCATACAAACCATGCCATTAGTAAATAATTCTTCAAAACCCGCCTAAATTGTGTCATTCAGTTGCTGTCATCAGAAACTACAAATCTACGGTGGCTGATTTCAGATCTGCTGCTAAAATGTTAATTTCTAAATTGCCTTTCATCATTTAAATGGTTCTTATTGCCTGCACAATGGTTTGAGAGGTGAATCTATTATGCTACGAAGCAACAGCAGAGACAGGTCTGGAGCAGAATGCCTGGATGTGTGACTAGCTGAGTCACCGTAGGTGAGTCACTTCACCTACTTTCTTCCAAGTGCCTCACTTTCTTCCAAGGGAAAAATGAGGATAACGTAGTTATAGTTTCATCCCCCTCCTGGGGTGCATGTGAGCATGTAAAGGCTCAGAAGAATAAACTCAGTTATTCTTATTACCTCATGAGTAAATAAGAAAGCAACAGACATTTATTCTACTGAAAAGCAGACAACCCCAAATGGTAACAAAATCAAGGTATTTTTCTTTAATACCCTTAAAATATATGTCAAACATACTAAAATAGTATTTTCATTAGTTCCAATAATGAAAAATAAGGACCTCATGCAAGCTAAAGTTCTACATTCCTCTCAACTACTGATGCACAACTGGGGGAAAAAACCTCAGAAAGCTACACCTGTTCTTGTTTGTGTGTGTTTTCACTCACAAAGACAAAAATGACCCAACAAGTACGAAAGGGACTCTCTCTTCCTTCAATGGACATATTCTGATATTCTTTCAATAAAACTCCTTTTCCCTAAGCAAATGTGAGTTAGGTTTCTACTGGACCAAAGAACCAAAGGAGGCCTGATTAATATAGGACTCAATATAGGATGAAAGACCTAAATGTGAGGCAGGAATCCATCAAAATACTAGAGGAGAACAGAGGCAGCAACCTCTGTGACCTCGGCCGCAGCAACTTCTTGCTAGACTTCTTGTCTCCAGAGGCAGGGGAAACCAAAGCAAAAATGAACTATTGGGACTTCATCAGGATAAAAAGCTTTTGCACAGCAAAGGAAATAGTCAACAAAACCAAAAGACAACCTACAGAATGGGAGAAGATATTTGTAAATGACTTATCAGATAAAGGGCTAGTATCCAAAACCTATAAAGAACTTATCACTCAACACCCAAAAAACAAAAAATCCAGTCAAGAAATGGGCAGAAGACGTGAAAAGACATTTCTCCAAAGAAGACATACAAATGACCAACAGACACATGAAAAAATGCTCAACATCACTCAGCATCAGGGAAATACAAGTCAAAACCACAATGAGATACCACCTCACACGGGTCAGAATGGCTAAAATTAACACGTCAGGAAATGACATATGTTGGCAAGGATGTGGAGAAAGGGGAACCCTCCTACACTGTTGGGAATGCAAACTGGTGTGCAGCCACTCTGGAAAACAGTATGGAGTTTCCTCAAGAAATTAAAAACAGAGCTACCTTATAACCCAGCAATTGCACTACTAGGTATTTACAAATATATATATATTTACAAAGATACAAATACAGTGATCTGAAGGGGCACCGTGATCTGAAGGGGCACCTGCACCCCAATGTTTATGGCAGCAATGTTCACAATAGCCAAACTATGGAAAGAGCCCAGATGTCCATCGACAGATGAGTGGATAAAGAAGAGGTCGTATATATGTATACCACCTATATATAGAGTAGTATATGGAATACTATCAGCCATCAAAAAAAAAAAAAAATGAAATCTTGCCATTTGCAACGACGTGGATGGAAGTAGAGGATATTATGCTAAGTGAAATAAGTCAATCAGAGAAAGACTATTATCATATGATCTCACCCACGTGGAATTTAAGAAACAAAACAAAGGATCACAGGGGAAGAGAGGAAAAAATAAAACAAGATGACATCAGAGACGGAGACAAACCCTAAGAGACTCTTAATCATAGGAAACAAACTGAGGGTTGCTGGAGGGGAGGGAGGTGGGGGAATGGGGTAACTGGGAATGGACACTGGGGAGGGCATGTGATGTAATGAACACTGGGTGTTATATTAAGACTGATGAATCACAGACCTGTACCTCTGAAATCAATAATACATTATATGTTAATTAACGGAATTTAAATTAAAAAGAAAAAATAAACTAAAAAAAAAAAAAAGAGAGAGACTCCATATGTGCTTTTCCCTCTGCTTTTTGCAAGGTCAAGTCTCTCAGTAAGATTTCAGCTTAAATGTGACCTCCGCAGACGCCTTCCCTGATCTCCCTTTCAAAGCAGATGTCTGTGGCCTGTGACATTACTCTTTATTGCTGCACCCTGATAATTTTGTAGGGGCCAATGGCAGGCCACCCCAGCATGGGTTACTTTGGCATGAAGATTATTTTGAGTTAAAAAGCAATCAGGTGAAAAATCTGTTAAAACAAGCTCTCGATTATCTTCTTAAGTAGAAATTTTCATTAACTGAGCTTCAGTTAAGCAGTGTCCATCTAAAATACTAACACAGAAATACTAATAGTGCATCAAGCCAAGCTTTACAGTAATAGCAAAAATGGCAAAAACCAAAAGGGACAAGAAAAAGCATACAAGTGCTCCAAAGGCAGGAAGAGCCAATGTGATCCTCTCTTTAGTGTTCATTCAGCACAGCACCCTGTGTAACTCAGTATGTAAAAATGTGATAATGAAGAAGAGAAGCTGAAATCAAATACTAAAAAAAATACAAAACTATTTTCTGTTAATTAGAGAGAACACAGAACTCCATCAGGAAAATTCTTGAGTAATAAAGGCAAAAGGAGATAAATTACAGGTTAAGTTTCATTGAAAAACACCTGCAAGAATGCTGCATCACCTCTATGAACTAGCCTTTGCTCTGTTTTTCACTTCTCTATTTACTTGACCAGTTGAAAATAAATCTATTAAACTTCTATGGCACAGAAAAACATATAGGTAGGATTCTGGATAATTTTAAATTTTTTCAGATGTTTCTTCTTGCAGAAAATCACTGCACCTACCTCTGTTCTGTTTTTGAAGTGGTAGGAAAAATGTCTTCTTCCAAATCTGACTCATCCACCTCAATCACCTAAGGGAAAAACAAAACGGAATAGTTTTTATGGGAATGGAATTTATCTGAATAAAAATAAATAGCTGAATCTCAAAAAAAATTTTCAAATATACAAAAAAAAAAAAAAATCAGAAAAAAGGGGGCAGAAACCAATTGTTAAAACTGAAGCTTTGGGCCACTGGGTGGTTCAGTGGGTTAAGCGTCTGCCTTTGGCTCAGGTCATGATCTCAGTATCTCAGGATCGTGGGATCGAGTCCCACCTCATTAGACTCCCTGCTCAGCAGGGAGTCTGCTTCTCCTTCTCCCTCTGCCCCTCCCTCCCTCCCTTCTGCTCATGCACACTCTCTGTCTCAAATAAATATGTATAATCTTAAAAAACAAACAAACAAAAAACAAAACCTGAAGCTTAGCCTGACTTCCCTCCAATGTCACTCTTCAATTCTATACATGTCTGAGCTCACTTTTCTCCTGAACACCATGGCAGCCGGTGTACCTAGAGGAACATGCAGTTAGACTGGTGAATGACTCACACGTCATGTGCAGACAGTGCCTGTGGACTTCTTGGGTTCTAGTGAGGAGTCAGACCATTAGTGTTCCATTTCCAGTTTAAAATTAGGTATAAAACCATGTGGGAAGTACTGGATATCTATCTTTCTATTACATTTATCCCCGTTAAACATCATTTGTTAGTTTTAGGTCCCAGTAGAGATATTTGTGATTCCTTTTTTTTTTTAAAGATTTTATTTATTTATTTGCCAGAGAGAGAGAGCACAAGCAGGGGGAGTAGCAGGCAGAGGGAGAAGCACGCTCCCATTGAGCAGAGAGTCTGGGATCATGATCTGAGCCAAAGGCAGATGCTTAACCAAATGAACCACCCAGGAGCCCTGAGATATTTGTTATTCTTGGTTCTATCATCCAAAATACTACTTATCTCTCTATGTTTTGTGTTATCTTGACACTTAATACACACATTTGCTATGTCTTCAACTAGCGAATGAAGCCAAGGGCAAAACAGGGAAAAAACAGCACCTGAGATCTCCCCCTCCAGGCTGACATTGAACTACTAATAAAAAATTGTTAAATGCAATTGTCCAAGAAGCTATGAATCCGGCCAATATTTCTGCATTTTGTCATAAAACTATCAGAAGATTGTCTTATGTACCTTGAAAGAATCAAATGTATTCAACACTCCTCCAATCTACCACTGTGTAACCACAATCAAAGAATGAAAAAAAAAAAAAGCTAGTTTAGCACAACTTGTTCCTTTTGAACTCATGTTCCTGCCTTACAAGAGAAAAATCTAGAAAAGACACTACCTTGTGGATGTGCTAATTTTGCTTTTAGATGATCTGCAAGTGACAGCAGGCAATAGTTGAATGCAAATAATAAAATGGAGCTCAGGATAAAAGTTATTAGCACTGGCACCCACATATCAACAACAACAGGTAGGGGGGGAGATGAAGTTTAGGGAGATAAAAGGACAAAATGAGAATCAGAGCAGAGAAGTTTCCTGGAAAAGGGTCAATTGTGTCACATATTCAAGAGACGAAGTATGAAATTTGAAAAAACACTACTGGGGCAGGTCTGATATAGAGCATGGATTCTCAACTGTAAGTGATAGTAACTATTATTCTGGAAACTTACGGACATGTCTGGAGACATTTTTTATTGTCATAATTAGGGGGGTTGCTACTGGCATTTAGAGGGTAGGGGATAAGATGTTGCTAAAAACCCTATAATGCAGACAACAGTCCCTCCCAGTAAGACTTACCTGGTCCAAGACTTACCTGGTCAACAGTGCTGCTACTGAGAACCAAGACTTACCTAGTCAACAGTGCTGCTACTGAGAAATCCTGACACAGAATCAAGAGCACTGCCTTAGGCGTAAAGACATGTGGGTCTTGAAAGTAAGGTAATAGGAGCATCAAGCCCATATAAAATCTTGGAATCCAAAGGAAGTGCAGAGGGCCTATGTTAAATCTAGAGCTTAAGACAGAGGTCCTTACATTCTGGCTGCTTAGTTTGTCTTGAGTCTAGCTCCAGCCATCAGTGAACAAGCCACAGTATTATGAGAGGATAAATAACAAAAGGAAACCAGATTTAAGTAAGACTTCTATACGCACTGAACTCCAATCTTCAATATTAATATTCCATGCATGGACCTTTTTGGCTCAACACTGTTATCCTTGAAAATATTACTATAAACATACATTTATGGATTTCTAATCATGAGATACAGTATTTAGTATATGTGCTGCCGAAGCGAGCACCATGAGATACAGTATTTAAAGAAAACAAAAATCCTAGAAGCCCTCAGTCTCGATAATCCATAAAATTCTCTCCAGCTTTAATGCTTCCCACTTTTTCCTTCTTTTATTTACTTTGTAAATTAAAGAATTGACAATTCATAATGCAGGGAGTATAAATTATTAACACACAACTATAAAACTTTTTATCTTACCTCTGAATAATTCTTAGCAGCAACATTTCGGGACGGCTGCTGTCTTGCAGATTTAAAGGCTATAACGTGAAAGAATAAACATCTGTTATGTTATTCTTAAAATAACTGAAAAAAATTTGTACATATTGTTAGCTAAAGATCTTGTAAGCTCTATCTGCAAAAATCATGATGGCCAATTATAAAACATTTATATTTTTTAAAATCTAAAGGGAGGTGGAAATATATGTTCAAATAAATCAATGCCTAGCTGCCAGTCTCCTGATTTCCTGGCTTATTCAAGTATAATAACAGGTAACACTCATAAATATACCTACACTAAAAATATTTTATAGAAACTACATGAAGGATAAAAATCTGACCATCTAATGGATTAAACCCCAAATATTTGCTTCTTTCTCTTAGAGTTGGAAGTACCATTCCCTGTGGCTATATTACGAACCCTATGGTTCCAGGAAGAGCTTTCTTATTCTCCTCTACTTTGTTAGCCATATCAAAGGAAGAGTCCAGAGGAAATCCTAGAAAACAGTGTATCTTTTATGCTATGATAACACTTCCTTTAAATCCTTACATTTTAGCTTTAAAAACTTAGAAACATGAAGTTTAGGTAACCCTTTATTTTCTCCCAAGTCAAAACAATGACACTATGATCTTATAATAAGAAATGTGTTTGGTCTTGGTCCCCATTTCTGGCAGAGCTCCTAAAACCCTAGGAAATTCCTAAGTACTAAGAGCCAGGAAAGTGACTTTTGTTATGTTAATGAAGTGACTTTTGGACCAAACCTAAAACTGGGGCTGGTTGCCAGGGGAACCAACCAGGAAATCGGAAATGAAGGTTGGAACTCAGTCCCACCCCATGATTTCCACAGAGACAGGAGGTTGAATCAATCGCCAATAGCCAATGATTCAATCAATTAATGGTAATGAAGCTGCCACAGAAACCCAAAGGAAGGGTTCGGCAAGCTTAGAGGTGGTGAACCAGAATGCTTCCATATGCCAGGGTGCTGGCCCCCAAACTCTCTGAAGATACAATTTCTTTGTTTGCGACCTTAGCTTTTGTATCTCTTTACCTGGCTGCTGATTTATATCCTTTGTAATAAACCAATAAATTTAGTGAATAAACTAGTTTCCTGAGTTCTGTGAGCCGCCCCAGGAAATTAATTAAACCCAAAGAGGGAATTAGGGGAAACTGACTGATAGCCAGTCAGTCAGAAGCACAGCTAGTTTGTGGTTAGCCTCTGAAGTGGAAGGAGGCAATCTTGTGGAACTCAGCCCTTAACCCTGTGGAATCTAATGCTACCTCTGGATAGACAGTGTCAGAATTGAGTCGAATTGTAGGAAACCCAGCTGATGTCCAAGAATTGCTTAGTGGGGTGAGGTAACCCCCCCACTCCCCCCCATACTGAATTGGGTGTAGAATATTTAAAACCTAGAATAAATTTCAAACTGCCAATTAGAGTTTTATTTTCTCTTAAGCCTTACCAGTTTCTTAATATAAAACAATGTTTTCCCCCAAGACAACCCCCAAACTGAACAGGGCAAGAGGAGAAAAAAAAGACAGAGGCCTTGAAAAAGTCAAAAGCTCAAAGAAACCCACAAAGTCCAAAATTCTCATAGTCTGGAAACTAAGGAATTGTTCTATCTAGCCTAAATTTATGATTTATTCATTTTTCCTATTCCAGGTCTATTCCCAGTCTTGTGATGTCTATCTGAGAGGAGAGATCAAGGGCAGAAGCAAAGTTCTTATCCACTTTACTCAATTACTAGGGCCTCGCATCCTAACTCTACGCAAAAGGCTAAACAGGGCAACTGAATAAAAAAATTAGCCATAATGACTCTTAAAGAATATTTCTGCTCAATAATTATTCACTAATTGACTCCTCAAACTCTCAGATCCTGACGAGCCCTCCTATAACAAACAAAAACAAACCAAACCTTCCTTTCTTTTTATCCCCAACAAATGTCAGTGAGAGAAATTAACTTTATCAGAAAAATAAGCACTGAGGTCTGTTAGGAAGGCAATACAGTATGGTGGTTGTAGAGTTAAACTCATTTTGACTGACTAGCTGGGTGACCAGAGCCAAGCTCCTTGGCTTTGTTAAGTCTCAATTTCCCCACCTATAAAATGATGTGGGAAACAAAGGCAAAAGAAAAATTACTAAGTTTCCTTACTACCTACAGCCCATTGACAAGTCCTTGAAACAGGCAGAGTGACATTCCTCTAGGGACTCAACTGCCTTGAAGTTGATACTTTGCTAAGGGCAAAGGGCAATCTTAGCTCAACCCCAGGATCCTGTAAGTCCACTTTAACATATAAAAAAAATTCCTTTGAAAACTTCCTTTAGGGGCGCCTGGGTGGCTCATTCGTTAAGCGTCTGCCTTCGGCTCAGGTCATGATCCCAGGGTCCTGGTATCGAGCCCCGCATCGGGCTCCCTGCTCCGCAGGAAGCCTGCTTCTCCCTCTCCCACTCCCCCTGCTTGTGTTCCCTCTCTCACTGTGTCTCTCTAGCAAATAAATAAATAAAACCTTTAAAAAAAAAAAAAAAAAGAAAACTTCCTTTATCTCTAACCCCCAAAATACATGTTGACAATCATCCCCTAAGTATATGACCCACCGATATACATCTGAAGCGGCTCATGACGGACTTTTTACTAAACAGTAATAAATGACCTTTCCTAACAATAGCTGGCCCCCTCAGGATCCTGGAAACCTCGTTTCCAAAATACCTGGGAGGCTTACACTATCCTCAACCCCCTCCCAACTTGGAAGTATATAATGGGCCGCTCCTCATGACCTCCGTGCAGCTCTTTCTGCCCACGGGTCCTGTCCCTGTGCTTTAATAAAACCATCTTTTTGCATCAAAGACGTCTCAAGAATTCTTTCTTGGCCGTTGGCCTCAAACCCTAACGTCTTTCCTACATCATAAAATAGTGTTAATAATTCATGCAGAAAATTGCTGAAAAGATAAAAAGAGGTGGTTAATGGAACTAATTCTGCCACGTGCCTAGAAGTAGCAGGTATTCAAATAACGTAGCTAGCAGCAGTAGCCGTAGATGCGGCAGCGGCCACCATGACAGTAAACCACGCGCAATCACAGAGCCTTCAGAGGGACTATTCACTTACTCACCACCCTCTGCAGACAAACTTCAAGGGAAAAATTTGGGCTGTCAACTATTATTTACAATTGCTGCTGGCTGGAAGTGTAATATCTATTGTTTCCAATAAAATTCCAGTACAATAATAAATCTCTACACTCCACAGGGCTTGATAATGGTAGAATTGTACCGTTACAGCTTTCTTCATACTTCCATTTACAATAGGGGTTTGGAAGTTTCAGTTTTAAAGGTGCTTTTGTCCCAGCATTACAGTAGCTATAGTTAGTACCCCATGGTTATTTTGTCAGAGACTTAACACCAAATCCAACCTAATAAAAATGTTTTACATGTATGTGTTAAAAAGTCTATTTCACTTTTCAAAAAAGTCCCAATGTTAGAGATAGTTCAACTGTAAACCATTTGACCAAATGAATTTAGATAAAAGATAAATTTAGACAAATATTTATAAAACATCCATTTTCATAAGTTTATCTTAAACACTGCCACAAGTACTAATAGCAGCAATCATTTTTTGGATTCTTACTAAGTCCTGTGCTAAGTAATGTATACCCATAAGTTCAACTGATACTTGTAACTACTCTGTGGAGTCAGTACTACACTGCCAATTTTATAGCTAAGGATCTGAGGCTTATAGAATAGAAAGAAACAGTTTACACTTACTGGCGGCTTAATATGTGTATATACTATGCCAAATAGTCCACGTGTATCTTCTCATCAATCCTCAAAATAACCCAATGAGATAAATGCAACTGTCAGCCCACTTACAGATGAGGACACTGAAGATGGAAAGCCCAAAAGGTCACAGAACTAGTAAATCAAGGAGTCAGAATTCAAACCAATGGCTGACTTTAGAACCATGCTTTTAACCTTTATGCTATCCAACCTCTAAGTAACTTTTATTCAGCCATTCTCAAGTATTTAATAAGCATCTACTATAGCCAGGCACTACGGACACCATGATGAAATGATGAAAAAGAATGACTCCACCCCTGTTCTGCTGGTGCTTGCGGTGTAAGGGCGTGGAACCAGCCAGTGAAGAGCTGGCCGACCATACCAGGTCTGACTCCAAAGCCCAGGTTCTTAACCACACCATCTGCTGCAAAGGCACCACAATTAAGATTTTTTCCTACACATAATTCAGGAAATCCTAAGTTTCATATTACTTTGGCTTACTTTTTACAAATGAGTATTATTACTTGTAAAAAAAAAAAGGGTTATTTGTGAACATTTTAAAGTGCTGAACTGGTCTCTCGTCTTCTCTATACAAACAGCTTTATTGCACATTATCAATGGGTAACAGAAGAGGACTCATGAAAGAATGTCTGTGAAAGGTCTCACAGGCATAGCAGTTCTGAAAGGAGCTGAGGGCAGAAAGTGGAAAAAAAACGCTCACAAAAAACCCTATGAGATATAAAGTTCTAGATGCAAAGGAGGCAGCCACATGTGAGTTTTAAAGAAAGAAAATAAAGATAAAAAGCTCTGTATTTGTTTACTGTGGTCTAGGTTTTCAGGTAAACACTGCTGCTCAAAGCTACCCAAATTGCTTCATCAAACATAAAAAAAAATTCTAGTGGCACTGAGTTGATCACATAAAGAATTAACAAGCCAAAACAGAAGAAAAGCTCAAACTTAGAGAGGCAAGCAGAATCCTTCTCCCTGGGGACCTGCTGATCTGGACAAATGTTCATACTGTTTTGACAGTTCTGTAGAGAGAGGGAAAGCGCTAACACAGGTCAAGGCCTGCTCAAAGTAAGGGACCTGATGCATTTCCTCCCTACCTTAAGCTGGGACCCCAGTGGTTAAGGAGAGAAGCAGATGTAAACAGGATTTTGCAAGTACATTATCAGCTGGTCAAACCTCAAGTCACAAGTTTAAATGTAGTTTTATGTGGCCTAAGACATGTGGTGCCCCTAGAAGCCTGGAGAAACAAATATGAATCAACTCTGGGGCAACTTAACTTCATCCCTAATCTCAAATTATTCCTGCTGATCATTTCTTACGGACAACAGATAATGAAACATGCAAGGAAACAAGTCACCGTAAATGAGAACCAACAGAAACAGAAATCAGAAATGGACAATAAAAAGAGGCGAAAGACATTTAGACACTGGGTTATTAGACAAAGACTAACAGAACAAATATCCTTACTAGGCACACACAAAATTACAGAGAGGCTTAAAAACATCTGCAGGGAATTTTTAAAATCACACAGTGTATTTCAAAAGAACTAAGTGGAATTTCTACCCCCACCAAAAACAATGAAAATAAAAAATTCAAAGGACAGTTTTAAGAATAGATGGGCATGGGGGCCTGCTTGGCTCAGTCCATAGAAAAAGCGACATCTGATCTTGGGGTCATGGGTTTGAACCCCATGTTGGGGTTAGAGTTTACTTAAAAAAAAAAACAACAGATGGGTGAATTAGAAGATCAATATAACACAGGAAGATAAAACAAGGGAAAATACAAGAGATTAATAGTCCCGGGAGGACAGAGTGAATCTTACATTTATTTAACTGAAGATTCTGAAGGGAGGAGAAAAAGAGCACAGAGGTATTATCTAAAGGGAAAGGATTTTCTAGGAGTGATGAAAGACACCAATTCACAGTTTCATGAAGCCCAATAAATCCTAAGCAGGATAAAAAAAGAATCTCATATCTAGATTCATCAGTGAAACTGCAGAACACCAAAGACAGCCAGCTGGAGGAAAAATAGACTACTTCAAAAAAAAAAAAAAGCAAGCTTAACTAATAGCTCATTTCTCAACAACAAAATGGAAGCCCAAAGACTCACTTTAAGTGATTAATTCTGCCCATTTGTGGCAAGGAAAGCTTCACATAAAATAGTTAAGCCAGGACGAAAAAAGGCAGTTTGGGTTAAGGTAAAGGTGGGTATGCCTTTGTGTCAATGCTAACCAACTTCTGGTGACTTAACCTGGAAGTGTACATATTTTTTTTCACTTTGCTTTTCTATCTCCCTCTGTTTTTTCTTTTCTTTTTTTTTTATAACAAACATTTTGTAAAGGCCTACTATGTGCCAGACTCTCTGCCTCTCATCTTCAGAACAACCCACTATGTACAGTCTATTATGGAAACAAACTTAGGAGTCTGAGTGACTTGTTAAAAACTCACAAGGCTTTTTTTCCATGTTGAACTCTGCCTAGATCCTTTCTATGGTGCCTATTTTTCCCCTTCTCTGCTTTTATCTTACTCCTGCCAAGAATGGAAGAGCACCTTTTTGGACGTCATTTCCTAAAAGACAACATGCTTTTTTTTTTTTTTTTAATTATTATTATTTTTTAAAGATTTTATTTATTTATTTGAGAGAGAGAATGAGATAGAGAGAGAGCATGAGATGAGGGAGGGTCAGAGGGAGAAGCAGACTCCCTGCTGAGCAGGGAGCCCGATGAGGGACTCGATCCTGGGACTCCAGGATCATGACCTGAGCCGAAGGCAGTCGCTTAACCAACTGAGCCACCCAGGCGCCCGACAACATGCTTTTGAAGTCAAGATAAGAATCTTAGCTGGCTCTCCTCAAGTACTAAATAACCAGAGTAAAAATACAACAACAGAACTTTTCAAAAATTATTATTATTTTTTCAAGTAGGCTCCATGCCCAACATGGGGCTTGAACTCACAACCCGGAGATCAAGACTTGAGCTGAGATCAAGAGCTGGACACTTAACCGGCTGAGCCACTCAGGTGCCCCCAGAACTCTTGATAAGAAGTTTCTTTAAGGGGCGCCTGGGTGGCTCAGTCATTAAGCGTCTGCCTTCAGCTCCGGTCATGATCCCAGGGTCCTGGGATCGAGCCTCACATCAGGCTCCCTGCTCAGCAGGAAGCCTGCTTCTTCCTCTGCCACTCCGCCTGCTTGTGATCCCTCTCTCGCTGTCTCTGTCAAATAAATAAAATATTTTTAAAAAATTATTAAAAATTTTTTTTAAAAAAGTTTCTTTAAGAGTCATTTATTGGATTTACGCAACTGATAAATTGTTGAACACTAAAACAACAACAACAAATAAGAGTCATTTATTGGATTTGATGTTTGTATCCTTCCTCCAATGTCAGTTGCCATCCAATAAATGTCCAAGACTTCCTCTGATGGTGTCACAATTCACTTCCTTCCGGGCGGTTTACTCTATCTTCACATTAATTCGATAGGTTATTCTGTACAATGCAAAGACCTCTCTACTGAGAACCAGTAGCTAGGTCTCTAATCTTATCTTGCTCTGGAAACTAGCAGTACAGTTGACCCTTGAATTCAGGGGTTAGGGGCACTGACCCCTGCAAAGTCCAAAAATCCCCATGTAACTTCTTCTAACTCCCCCAAAACTTAACTACTAATAGCCTATTATTTATTGGAAGCCTTACTGACAACATAAACAGCTGATTAACACTTATTTTGTATGTTGTTTATATACTGTGTTCTTACAACAAAGTAAGCTCAAGAAAAGAAAATGTTAAGAAAATCATATTTTTCATATGGAAGGGAAAATACATTTACAGTACTGTAATTTATTGGAAAAAACCCACTTATAAGTGGACCTGCACAGTTCAAACCCACTCTGTTCAAGGATCAACTATATAGTGGTTAACCACTGGTTCTGGAGTCTAGGGAATGTGGGATTAACCCAAGTTCTAAAATTTACTAGCTGTGAGACCATGGGTAAACTGCCTATCTTTTCAAAGCCTCAGATCCCTTTTCTGTAAAACAGGGATAACATAAGTATCTAACCACAGAGCTTTGGGAAGCATGCAGTTAACTCTTTCATAGACATTAGCTATTATGAGTATTATCTTAAATACAGATCACAGACTTTCTTGTGCTAACCATAGAGCTGGAGAAAAGAAGCTTAAGAAAGTAAACACTATATTAAGAAGTGGTTCTTTCTTGATCATTGTTGACATATTGACCAACTGACTCATTTTTCTGCCTTCAGGGTCTCTCTATAAACAGGAAATAATCAAATCTGTCTAAAAGTAAGGGATTATAAAAAATACTTTTTAAGATTCTCCCTTGAAAGTAACTCTGATGAATGGCAAAGACCTTTTAAAGAAGAATTTATCTTGTAATGCTAATAACCCTTTTGACCCCCCAACAATGGCAACACAAACCAGTGAGGTTTCCTAATGAGGATTTCCTAGGTCTTCCTATGTTGGGATTTATAAATAACTGCTAGAAAATCATTTGCAACCCATACTCACCATCTATAATAGACATGTTTCTAGGTGTTGACATAGTGGCCTTTGAACTTCTGCTTCGAGTAGAAGTCTCTAGACCAGTGCCTATTGTTAGAATAATGAGCAGTCACTATACAATTGTATCAGTAGCCAAGGTTTTTTTTTTTTAAGACAATGCCAAAATGAAATGTAAAAAAAGTTACATCAAAACATAGTTTATGTATAAAAAGTCAAAGACATATATAACAAGAAACACATAGTCTAATCACTTTTCAAAAACTATACTTATACCACATTTGGTTCATACTCTTCCAATCAAAATTTAAGGAAACATTTTGTAAACGTAAGGATAATGAAAATAAATTATCACTAGAGGATGAGGATCTCTTTCCCTGGAAATTTTTAACTTTTAAGTACTATTTTACCAGCTTAAAATTCCAATGGATAAATATTTAATAAAAACAATTTAAAAATATTCCTAGAAACGAAGTCATACAACGCATCAGGAAGTCACTGGATGGCCAATTTTCTATTATTTGGATTATTCAATGACAATAGTCCCACGTTAAATACAATGATGGCAATTAATGTTTATGACTGCTTTAAGAAATCAAATTGTTTTAGGGTAGTATTCTTTTTGAACAAATTTTATGAAGCCACTTTATACAAATAAGGGCATTTGTATCTTATGACAGTAACAAAAATAATGTTAATGACCTGGAGTTTCTTCCTGCTGCCAATGGTCATTAGATAGCCATTTTCCTTAGCAGCTCATATCTGCCCATTATTTTATAGGTGTGAGAGTAAATATGACATTAAATGTACCCAAAAGGTACTGTGTGAGGAGCGTAGTGAAGTTCTTAAAAAAATATGTTAAGAGTCATTAAAACAGGGGCGCCTGGGTGGCTCAGTTGTTAAGCGTCTGCCTTCAGCTCAGGTCATGATTGGGATGGAGCCCTGCGTCAGGTTCCCTGCTCCACGGGAAGCCTGCTTCTTCCTCTCCCACTCCCCCTGCTTGTGTTCCCTTTCTCACTGTCTCTCTCTCCCCGTCAAATAATAAATAAAAAAAAATCTTAAAAAAAAAAAAGTCATTAAAACATTACGTGCACATGGCCATTAAAATCTATTTAAGTAAACATACATGTCAGAACTATATTAAAGACTGGTTTTATGCATTATAAACACAAAATTTTAGAAGATAGCAACACTTAATTCTGACGATAGGAATACGATCCTGTGTGTCCCGTTCAGCTGCCAAGTCTGAATGTGTGTGCAAGCTGGTACCGACTGCTAACCTCTTCCTCTCTGAGACCCCCCTCTCCAGGCTGAGTTCTGTCCTCTTCCTCCTCGGCGGCCTCTTCCTCGGCCTCCTCCTCTGCTGGCTGCTGCTGTGATGTCCTCATCAGAGTCCTCAGCCATCTGTTCTGCCAAATCTATACTCATAAGGTCCTCAGCACTAAAGGCAGAAGCAGAGTCCTCAGACTGAGATCTGAGGGCTCTGGCCCTTGTCATAGCCTGAGAGGGAAAGAGGAGAAAATACACACTAGTAGGTGATGCAGCATCCTAAGTCATTGATCTGGTCATTCAGATAACATGCACTATTGCCAAACTGTCTATACTATTATTTTTCACTAATTATGCTATAAAAATGCCAAGCAGGACAACTCCCCTCCCCTGTCTGTCAAATTCAATTCCTACAATTTGTCAGATCAATCTGCCATACTATCTGGAAAATGAGACCTTTTGAAAAGCTGTGCTGAGAACGATAAAATTCCACAGAATCAAAACTTTTTTAACTGGTAAGAATATTAGCAATCGCCCCTAATTCAACATCACCATTTATAAGAGACTGTCATCATTTGAGCTACTCTGTACAATGGGCTCTTAATATTAGTGACAAGAAAAATGCTTACAAAAAATGTCTGTTATCTCTGGGTGATGAAATTTTAGGGTGCTCGTTTTCTTCTTTATTCACAAATAGGATAAATTTTCTACTATATAGTTTTTCTAAAATATTACTCTGTAATCAGAAAATTATGAGCAATCATCTCTTAAAAAAATTAAGTAGAATTAAGAATAAAAAGATAAAAAGAGGGGCGCCTGGATGGTTCAGTTGGTTAAGGGTCCGACTCTTGATTTTGGCTCAGGTTGAGATCTCAGGGTTGTGAGATCAAGCCCTGCACTAGGCTCTGCGCTTAGTCTGGAGTCTGCTTGTCCCTATCCTTCTGCTCCTCCCCCCACCTTGTGCTCTCAAATAAATAACTATACAAAAGCTTTAAAAAAAAAAAAAAAGATTAAAAGAATTAAGTAGAATATAACAATTGAAGGCCTGGGAAAGAATGAAAAGCTTAGGACCAAGAATATGCCACAAACTTTAATTTGATAAGAAACTGCCAAGAAAAGACAAGTTTGAGACTTAATGAAATATTTTAACTCTGAAATGAATACAGATTTTTTGATTAAAAATAAAATAAAAGCAATGTTGCTCTGAGCTCTTCCCTTAAACTAATCAAACTGTAGTAAGGAGAACAGAAATGAACATGATGAGAAAATAGCTCCAACTTCTAAACACAAAAGTTCTGAAGAGTTAATGGATATAATGAAGATCTGACCTAAGGAACAAGGTAGAAAAGAGTCTTAGGCAGTACAGAGCTCTCTAAAATTGATCTATATATCCAAAGGGACCATGACTATAGTCTCTCTTGCTTGGAATAAAAAATTCCAAGACTAAGAATAGGTGGGTAGAGCATTTCTGAGCTCTCTTGATACCATGAAGTAAAGAGAGGCAGGACTAAATGAGGAGATGAGAAGAAAGCACGTAGGGTAGAAGTAGGAGTGAAGTGGGAGGTGGGAGATAATCCAGCTGTATGATGATGATTTCAGCTTAAAGGAAGTAACAGCAAAATCCCAGCATGAAGGGCTCAGCACGGCATTACCATGTAAAAAGAAAAAAACTTCAGGGAACATAACAAAAAAGAAAAAGAAAAAGGGATGCCTGGGTGGTTCAGTCGGTTAAGCATCTGCCTTCAGCTCAGGTCATGATCCCAGGGTCCTGGGATGGAGTCCCGCAACGGGCTCCTTGCCCAGCAGGGAGCCTGCTTCTCCCTCTGCCTGCCGCTCCCCCTGCGCGCGCACGCGCGCTCTCTCTCTGACAATAAAATCTTAAAAAAAAAAAAAAATACAAAGAAAAAATCGCAGAAAGATTTCAACTCATTTTTCTTGTCCCAGATGAAGTATGGTCAATCCTCATTATTCCCAGATTCTGTATCTGCAAATCACCTACTTGCCAAACTTTATCTGTAAACCCCAGAACAATATTCCTGATACTTCTGCAGTCATCTGTGGACCAGTGCAGTGGTAAAAATTCCGAGGCTCTTTTTTTTTTTTTTAGATTTTACTTATTTATTTATTTGACACACAGAGAGAGAGAGAGAGAGAGCACAAGCAGGGGGAGTGGCAGAGGGAGAAGCAGGCTCCCCGTTAAGCAGGGAGCCTGATGCAGGACTTGATCCCAGGACCCTGGGATCATGACCTGAGCCGAAGGCAGATGCTTAACCATCTGAGCCACCCAGGCACCCAAAAATTCCGAGTCTCTTGACACACACATTCCCAGATGAAGATGAAGAATGGAACACTCAGCCTTCCTGTTTCAGCTCTCACACTTTAAACAAGTGTCCTTTCTGTGGCATATTTAGTGCCATGTTTTTCACATTTTTGTGTGTTTAGTCAGTGATTCAGTGTAGCTGAAGTGCTGTCCAGTACTCCCAAGTGCAAGAAGGCTGTGATATGCCTTACAGATGAAATAGGTGTGTGAGATAAGCTTCATTCAGGCAAGATTATAGGGTTGCTGTCTCTAAGTTCAATGTTAATGACTCAACTATATATTAAAACAGAAATACACATGAAAAAGGTTATGTACTACTCGGGATAAAAATGCTATAACCAGTAGTTGGCAGGAACCCAATCCTGTTATTTCCCCTAGGAGCAATACAGTTCAGTATTCACTAGGTTAGTGTTTGCAGTGACACAGAACATAAAGAAATAACAAGAACCAGCTGTACTTTTTAAAAAGTACACTTAAAGGGAAAAAGGAGACTTAAATTACATAATTAATAAAACAGATCTAATTGATGTATGTTGAACTCTATACTCTGAAAATAAATATAGACTTTTCAAGACCTCATGAAATGTTTAACTAATACATCATGGGGTGCTAAGAAAAATATCAATTAAGTTCTAAATAGTAAAGGGTATTATACAGTCTAATTGCCATGAATAAAATTAGTAATTAATGATAATTAAAAAAAAAACCTGCCTCCAACCCACAAAACTAAAATTGCAGAAATCTAGAAAATAATAAAAATATTGTATACTGGAGGGCGCCTGGGTGGCTCAGTCGTTAAGCGTCTGCCTTCAGCTCAGGTCATGATCCCAGGGTCCTGGGATCGAGCCCCACAT